CAGTTGCATAATTAACTTCTCGAACTTCGAGGGTCAGTACTTTGCAGGGTTAGCTACTGTGATTCCATGCAATCTTGCTACGGCACGAGAAGTGCAAAAACGCACAATCGCACCGGCCCGCCTGGTGCTTTCCAGCCTGGGTTTTAAAATCGTCACTCATATATGCCTAGATCTCGAGTGTGGATTCCCGAAATAAAAGTGCAAATTTTTTTCCGAGGTAAGCTACTCCGTGAACCAGGCAAGTTACAGAGCTTGAACTTTGTAAGGATATTCTCTGTGCGTGCATGAATCAAGGATTTTAAATTCAGCTATCGTGCATGTTTGTACTTGGCGTGTAGTCAAGTTAAAGTTTGCAGCTGGCGCTGTACCGACCCAAAAACTGGCCAGGAAATAGCAACGGAAATTTTGTCAGAATATTTTTTGTCTGTATAGAAAATTGTATACCTAAACTTGCCACCACTGCTTTTGAACTGCTCTTCAAAAGTATTTGTGGTGAAACGGCTATTGCACTTAATATCAGACAAGCTGCGAAGCTGAAACTTAGCGAGGTTTCAGCTTCGCAGCTTGTCTGATATTAAGTGCAGTAGCCGTTTCACCACAAATATTCTGTATTCAGTGTAGTCTCAATTCAGCTTAGAGGTTAAATTCTTTGCTTGCATACAGACATGACAAATGCTTAATTTCTTCCCAAATTCAGAGTGCATTTTGCAGATTTCGTAACCCTCCTCCGACTTCCTTCAATTTTGCATTTTTTCAATGAACGAGCATTCACTAGAAAAGCGACCGGGCTTCATGCTAAAAACTGGTAGTCATATACGCTAGAAGTCCATGTGATCGCATAATGCAACACCTTCATCCCAGCTGGCTTTTTTTCCCCCTGCGTGCGGGAAGAGAACAAAACCGAATCAATATGAGTCCAAAGGTTAAATTACAGCGCAGGAAACACTCCTGCTGTTAACGATCTGCAAGTTTAGCGCAGAAACATATAATCGCACCGCTAAGCTTGATGCTTTGCAGCCGGGTTTTGTGTTCATTTCTCCTTAAAAAATATGTTTTCAGATTCTTATGAAACGATGCGGCCTGGTTTCGGACCACAAGAGAAGGGCAGGGACAAGAATATAATAGTACCGCGAATTTTAGTTACTTCGGTAACAGGTGTAGTACCAGTGAACGAAGCAGAGACACCGGTCAAGGATTTCTCTGAAAATATTGGGCATTCGGCATCTACATTTCCGCATGCCGTCGCACCGGCAGACCATTCAGATTCTGATCAAGTTGTCATTCTCTCAATCTCTGAACCGGAAACTCGTGCTCTGCCATCGCTTCTAGACACAACATCTTCCGATACGTCCAGAATTACAACAGAAGCAACAGAAGAACTATTCGTGCCTTCTGCTGCGACATTCACAGCACTTAAACTAATCTCTGATCCTAGTATTCCACCATCGCCTTCTCTTGTTTCCACATTTGACTCCACGATTACCAGACCTCCCCCACTTCTTTCATCATCCGCTGTCTCATTATCCGCCGCGGATAGCTTCTTAACAAGCAGTACATCAACGAAGCAAGCAGTGACTGAGGCGCTAGCCGCAGGCGAAGGCTTTGCGCCTCGAGTACTACATTTGGAAGATGGAGCCGAAACATCCCAAGGATCACTTGTACCTCTTCGAAAACAATCCCGTAACAGCAGTGAAACCAACGTAATGGTAGTTGCATCTGGTGCCAGTCAACAAGCTTTAAAGTCTGCTGCGCATATTTCGCCAACAAGCTTCCCACCGAAAGCAGTGCCTCCAGACAACGACGCCAGCTTTTCAAATTCTGTTCCCCTTCGGCCTCTGTCTGAAGTTCTTGATGAGGTGCGTTCTTTAGCTTCTCCAATTTATGGCCGTTTTGTAGCTGCATTAGTCGTGTTTGTGAGTGCATAGACAGTTCATTCCTTGCGAAAACAAAATTTGAATGCAGGAGGAAAATGCGAAGAGGTTGCCAGAGGATTCTGGATTCGACGCAGATAATGGCATCGATGCTGTTGCTCTGGTAATTTTGAAATGGTCAATTTATTAAATTGCTCAAGTATTTAATACCTTCTGCACTAACACACAATAAAAAGTTACCAGTTGAAAAAGATTTTGCTTAAATCTATATGTGAAACCTGAATGATTCTGTTTTCGGCTTGACATCATTACAGGAAATTTGATACATGGGTGATACGCAAAAGTAAAACATGAGTGTTTTCTAAAGAATAATAATTTCAAATCAGTTAATTACAGTGTGCAAAAAATATCTGAATGCTGCACGGAATAGTCTTAGGACAGACAAAAAGTCTCTTCTGCCTCGGCATCTCTTGTTCGATCACCACCTACGGGGTCACTAGCTGTTGCGAGCTTGACCGACTAATCTGAACTGTCTTGTTTAACTGGTCCTTGTCAGTCACAGTTTGCTTTTTTAGCACATACGAAAAAAAATAGTTCAGAAAATATATCCGCACTCCGTGAGAGGCTATTGACAACAAACCTAACAACGATCTTACTGATTTGGGGCTTATACGTCTGAGTTTTCACAACCGATGTAAGCTTTGTACCGCTATTTCTGATCCGTGAGTGCATACAACGCCAGAAGATTCTAACCTCAAATTCGCAAAACATTAGTGATGTGCATACTAGAACAAAGAAATCTCTATTTGGAGCTTCGGAAACGAGGAGGAATAACATTTTAGCTTAAGCCTCATTTGAAAAAAAAAAGCCTGGCTTTCCTTGATCTTTGGGTCTCCTGGGAAAAAATTTGCCTTCCCAAATTTTGAGCAGCCTGCCCGAGGTTTGACGGAGGGTAAAGATATCCTCTGAAGCTCTCAGCGGTGCTGTTTTAGTTGCCTGCAAAAGACTGAAAGTTGAGTTGACCCTAAAAATTGCCAGTTGGTGTTTTTGGAAATATGTTTTCTCTTATCTGTAACCGATTCTACTTTTATGCGAATGAATAAGTACTACGGCGCGATCACGTTTGCTTATGCATGTATGTATGCATGTAAATGGATGCGCATGCGTACTTGTGTCTATATCTGTATATGTGTGCATGTGGGTTTGTTATGTATTCATTCTGGATAATTCAATTTAACAACTAAACGGAAGCTAGGAAGCTAAAAGTTTGAGAACACAATCTTTGTTTGGTAGCTGCAAAACCTGCTGCAGAATTTTCTTCTGCAAAATCTTGCAGAAATAAGCACATATACAGTGTTCAAAAAAAGATCGCAGTGGCAATCTCTGGTAAAGTGGCGCCTCCCCTTCTTCCACTTTCCCAACCAGTGTTGAGTCTAAAATTATTACTTCACAATTCATTATTGCCAATCAGCTCAACTGAACAGTTTACATCTGAATATGGCATTTTTTTTTTTTGACCGAATTTATTTTTTCTCCTCAAGTTGCAGCCATTCCGAAAGTCTTAGCGTCCACCGCCTTGTAGAATACTATGATGGTCAGTCAACAAGTGCTGGTTAATAACGTTACAATTATTCCCATGATTTTATCCAAATTGTTCTTTTTCTGGACAAGTAAAGCCACTTCATTTGTTATACTTTCCGGTCGATGAAAATCGTGAGTTAATTCGAAGCGAAGGACCGAACAATGGACTTTCAACAGCTGATTTGTTTGGTGATGCCTCTGAACTAACGCAAGGTTCTTTTCATTCACACTGGCAACCCGCACCGGGCAGGCCCGTGCGATCATGCGTTTTTGCAGTATTTCGTGCTGTAATGAGATCGCTCAAAAACTTGATAGCTAGAATTTGCGACATACTGGTCCTCGAAGTTCGGGAAATTAATTGTCTACGCGGTACTTGGACACGGAACATTCCGCTAAAATTTCAGTTTTCCTACTTCTCCCGTTCTAAAGTTAGCAATTTTCCTGTCAAAAAATTTCATGGATTCGTACATGAGAACCACACGCATCTGGGAGCTAAATTTGATATCTTTAACCTTTACGGGGACTGGGGACACACACCCTTAAAATTCCAGCCTCCTAGCTTTCCTGGCTCCCGAGTTAGCCACCTTCCCGCTAGAAAATTTCACGGGGAAAATCTCCCACCAGAAAATTCCCGCCAGAAAAACTTTAAGTTGACCATGTGCTGGGGACACTCCCTGAAAATTTCGGCCCTTCCACTTCCTGGTTTCCAAGTTAGCGATTTTCGCGCCAGGAACCCTCACGGGATCATATGCGAGTACCACGCGCAACTGGGGGCTGAATTTGAAATCTCTGAGTTCTATGTGGGCGGGGAACATAAACCCAGAATTTCAGCTTTCTAGCTTTTCTGGTTCCTGAGTTAGCGATTTTCCCACCGAAACTTTAACCTCATACGCGGGGCCCAGACTTGCGTGAAAGTTGGTATCGTGGTCCTGGTGTGGCAGTTGGCTGGGGAACCTACCGGCAAAATTTTGGCGCCTGAGCTTGCTTGGCGATTGAGTTGAAATACCCGGACGGACACACACACACGGGGGTCGTCACATTGCGCGTTTTCGCACTTGCACATATGCAAAAACGCATAAAAATTGGGTCTTTCTGCTTTCTTACCTCGTCTTTTAACGCCTTTTCATTTTTCATTAGCTTTACAAAACTGCATTTCATGCATCATTTCAGCGGGGAAATATTCATAAAAACTACGGTATTAAGCAGTTTTGCAGAAGGAAGCGCTTATTCGGAACAACTGAAGGGAGAAGTAAGCACTGAGCAACTCCGAGTTCCGAATGCGTCGTCAGAACAAAATGGTTCACCGGTTGTTTCCTCGCTGCAAGTGTCCGTACCAGCAAGTGATCTCGAAATGGAAGAAGCTTATGCGGAGACACAAAGTACTGATGCAGTCACGAGTGTAGCTGTATCTGCGACGACCTACATTCCAACACTTGTCACACAATCAACACAAGTGAGCGCTGCTGCTGCTCCAGATACTATTGCTACCGGTTTGCTTTTATGCATTTTTGAACATTTGTACAAATTAAAAGTTAAAAGAGAATATAGGAGAAAAAGGAAATGATACAAAGAAGAAATGGATATTAAGATAGATAAG